TGGATCTGTATTGTCGATGTGGTTGTTGGGAGGTTGATGTGTGTTGGGTTTGTTGTTGGGTAAATGAGGGTTGTGCCCATTGTGTTCGTGGGTCAACCAAATACCTTGGATGAGACATGTGCATTTCTGGATTACTAACTTATCTATACCAAGTTAAATATTGATCTGTGTGTCGCATATTACCTTGGTTTAGGAAAGTAGGGAATTGCAAGACATCACTACGCCAAAAATGATTTTTTGTATCACCTAATTTAATAGCACTTTTAAAAAAAATGCTATTAAAATGGAAAAAACACATTTATAATAGCACTTTTTAATCGGGCGCTATTATATAATACAGACTATGTAATTTTGATAGCACTTTGTACCACAACGCTATTATTAAACTTCTTTAAGATAGCATTTTGTATAAAACGCTATTATTTGACTACCTATATAATAGCATTTATTAAAAAGCGCTATGTTATATATAATAATGAATTAATTAATTAATTGATAAAAAAAAAAACAAAACACATCGTCAAAAGCACTGTGCAATCCAGTCACTAGCAAGTTCATGTTCAATTCTTTCTCCTCATAAAACTCTTCAACGCATTCGCCTTTCGATTTTCCCCTACAACCACGCGTGTAAGTTTCCCAAACCCACAGCGAACGTAACCGTTTCCCATCAATTTTCCCCTTTCGATTTTCCCGGCCACACCACCGCCGTCATCGCCGCTTCATCCACCGACGACAGTGGCATCCCGTCTCAAGATCTCGCAGTTCTCCTCGAAGTCGATGGGTGAATTTTCGCTTTTCTTCGTTATTAACAATCTCGTTTCAGTTTCACTCTGCTCAACTTGTTTGAACTGTTGTGGTTGTTAATTGTTTTATTTATTTATTTATTTGTTTTTTAGGGTTCTTGTGGATGCATACCGTGGGAATCGCATAGCCTTCAATAAAGGTATCAACAGTTCGACTGTGCTCACTGTCACTGCTCATCTATAATTCCATATTCTCCTTGTGTTATTCTGTTTTCATGGAGTGTAACGAACTGTTGTTTTTCGATTTTGATTTCGATGTTGTGCTTGCAGCATTTGAGAAACTTGGACTTGATTGTGCGAGCTGGAGCGAACCTGTCTATTCAGATCTTTTAAGGTGTTTTTTTGGTTATTTGTTCCCTTTTGACCTTGCCACAACACATTTATCTTGACAGTTGATATGCAATGCAAGATAATCTGATTGATCTTCTCAGGTATGCCAACCTGCTGCATAACCTTTTTGATAAAGCTCCAACTCATGTCATAGGCCTTAGATAAATCCAGCTTGATAGCAAAAAAGTCCTTGTTACCTTTAAGCTTATTCATGCTATGGACCATTTCATTAGTCATGACAATATTCTCATGGATGCTTCTCTTGGGGATGAAACCAGTTTGATAAGGAGAAACCATGTCATCAATACCTATCTTGTGCCTATTGACCACAATCTTACTAATAATCTTGTAAATGGTATTGCTGATAAGATCTTTGACATACTGCATCTTTCCATTACTGAATTGATGACACAAATTTGTAAGGTTGGCCACTAAGCCATTCTCCTCACGCCACTGCTGATCAAGTAAAGTCTCATAATTGTGTTTGTTAGAAGAAGTGTTCTTGTTAGCTTATATGACTAATTTTATATTATGAATCTAACTGTAGTTGAGCATGTCGAAGTTAAACTGAATTCTTGGTGTTCACTTCAGCATTAATATCATGTTCAAATGTTGAATCTTGTTGTTTTGAATTCTTTCAATCTTTGTCCTCTATCATGATTCATGATTCATGAGATTATTGCATTATTGTGTATTGGAGTGAATGAACTGTTGGGTTTTCATTTTTAATAAACATGTTCATCTTGCAATTTGAAATCATGTCAGATCACACTTGTAGCAATGCAGTGCCTATTTTCTTCTCTTGATCAATATGCATAAATTATGAAAATCATATGAAAAATTGATAGTCATTCTTGGTGTTAATTGAATTCTTGGTGTTGATTGTATTTGCAGATCAGGTGATGTACACATTGCAGCTTCATAAATATATGTTAATCAATATATACAAGTGAAAGAGTGACATGAAAAATCATGGTAGGGTAAATAAATATTGCTATGTAGCTGACACTGTTAATTATGATACCAATTTGAATAGGAATGTCCAAAGGAGCCATTGCTGGCATAGTTGTTGGAGGAGCTTTTGGAATTTTACTTTTGGCACTCATTCTCTATGTTGTGTTCTATAGAAGAAAAAAAGTTGCTCAAGTAACCCTTCTACCAGTCCCAGGTGCATCTGAAGAACAATATAGCCAACTCCAACATGGTATATATCATATTTTGTTGTTAACTGTCTAGTGATATTTTCTAGTTCTAGATTGTAGATTAAGTTTTCATGTATATATATGAGGATTATTTGTTCCATGGATTTAGGTTGTGGAAGTAGCTTGGATAAGGCTTCCGAATCAACTACTATTGCTTCTCCGAGGTTGACTGGTATTACGGTTGATAAGTCAGTGGAGTTTTCATATGAGGAGTTAGCCAAAGCTACTGACGGATTTAGCGCGGCAAATATAATAGGTCGAGGTGGATTTGGATCTGTTTACTATGCCGAGCTTCGCAACGAGGTTTGTGTGTTTAAAATCTATTTTAAAATGGAAATTCAATTTATTAGCAGCAATTAACATACTTAGAAACTATATATATATATATATATATATATATATATATATATATATATATATATATATATATATATTGATTTTGATTTGGACTAGAAATAAGAGTTGCAGTAACAAGAACTTATTTGTTTATATGTAATTCTTTGTAAATGAATCAACCGAAATGCTGTTCATCTTCAAGTGTCTCTAGATCTCCTTTTGCTTTCCATATTTTATATAGGTGTGTTTTGGTCTGTCAGTAAACCAATTTCTACTTCTACTTCTTTATCTGTTTCTTTTTCTTGAGTAAGCTTTTACTTTGTAATGCGGAAACTATCCTTAACTTCTCTTGTATCTGATGTCACAAACTGCAAAGAAGTATATAATGCTTAAAATGTATTTAAGATAAAATAAAGAAATCATGATTCTCTGATGTATTTTGCTTAAAAAATGAAATGGTGATTGAGGTTGGAATATAAGTATATAAATACTAACCTCCAAGTTTAAATCATTTTTAGTAGCATGTGCTCGTAAATAACCAAACTCAGAAATTCTTTTAAGACTCCAGCTCTCTCCCTGCCAATGCAACAGAACAAACAGTTTCATTTGCATATTAAAAAAATCATAAGCACAGTCCAAACTTTTATATAAATGAACAAGGTTCGATCTAAATTGTGGCTGCAATTTAAAGGTTTTAGAGGTCTCGGCAACAACATTGCTATGCAATATCAAAGTTTGCATTGTAATGGCAACTGCAACCACAACTACAATTTAGATCCATGAATATATAAACGAGTTTGATAAAGGGAAAATTAGTTACATTGTTTGAGGATTTGTCCAAGGTGAAGCCAGCCATGCCAATGACAGCATGTACGGGTGCACTATAATTTTTGTTATCATAAGTGTCTACTCCCTTTTGATCTTTTATAGGCATGGCTTTGCACTTATTCTGATAGACAGAACAAGTTCTTTCATAGTTATGCACATGGCCAAAAAGTGCCAAGTCAACCTGTTTCATATTCATAATACACAGTTAGCTTCTTATACAAGGCACTGTAAGTAACAGAATTCTAAGGAGTTTGATGTTCTTGCCGTATTCTCAAATAGCAATGGCTCCACAGCTTTAATAAAATTTTGATCTTTAGACGAAAATCCTTGGTTGGAAGTGTACATTGGTCTATGTCTGCAAATAAAAATAGTATGTTCAATAAATGTTGTGATTTTATTTCGGTTTGAGTGGTATAAGTCAGCTGAATCATGACTCGGAAGTCTCGTTGGCTCAATGTTAAGTTTGGTTTTTAAAACATTAGTTGAGAAACCACAATCTAAAAATTTACATAAATCACTTACCCCATGAAGACTAACCAAGGAGTATGTTGTCTATTAACGGATGCCATATCCTTTTTCATCCATTCATACTGCAATATGAATTTTACATATATGAATCATTTAATTAAATTAGAAATATATGAAATAGGAAATAATTATTTATTTAATTAACCTGTTGAGAATTTATGGACCAGTCATGTTCAGTGGATATTACTGTAAAATGAACACTTGCTTGTTCAATTGAGTACCAAGGCTTATCCTTTGCAGAAGTGGGCATTGGAAAGTATGTTTCATAAGGTACTCCACATTCACCACCAGAGTCGGGTGTTTGATAAACCGAACCAGAACTTACATAATCCCTGTGAATATAAATAAGAACAAGTTTGAACAGAATAAGCCATTCAATTATTGTTAAAATGTTTGAACAGAATTATGATTATTAATGTGGATGCAAGCAATACCTCTCATGGTTCCCAATTGCTGTCATGTAAGAAACTCTTGAAGCTACTGGACTAATAAGGTTCATAAAGAAATCCCATTCTGCTAGAAAACCGGTCGCATAGCTTATGTCTCCAATGTGAAAAACCGAGTTTAAATTGTTGGAATCCACTTCACTAGCTATAGCTTTTATAACTGATAAAGCTCCAGGCTACATGAAAAACAAGATCATGCTGGTCAACACATAGTGGTACAATGTATTGGTGAATAATTCAGATTGAAGATGTCTTTGGTGTCTGACACTTGTTTATGTGGAAGAGTGACCCGACTCTTGCACATATGATTACATTCAATCATTTTCATTTTCGTAAGTTCACCACCTGTCCAATCCTAATGTGTTATCTCAATATGCATTTCAGTTGTAAATGCTGTTTCATATCAATTTACCTGAATGTAATGTTCCTCTGAAGCATCAAGAGGGGTCTTTCCCATATCGCCAAAGCTACTGACGGATTTAGCGCGGCAAATATAATAGGTCGAGGTGGATTTGGATCTGTTTACTATGCCGAGCTTCGCAACGAGGTTTGTGTGTTTAAAATCTATTTTGAAATGGAAATTCAATTTATTAGCAGAAATTAACTTTTTCTTTTTTTTGTTGTTGTTGCAGAAAGCTGCAATAAAAAAGATGGATATGCAAGCATCAAAAGAATTCCTAGCCGAACTAAAGGTTCTGACACACGTTCATCACTTGAATTTGGTATGACCTTTTCCTAGCTCCAATATTATTCAAAGTTGAAGCATGATACTGATACAGATACAGACACGACACTGACTCGTATAAACTTAGTAACGGTTTAAGAAAATGAAAATGAATGTAACCATGGCGTGTGTGAGACACCTAAAATACTTTGAATCCAAAGTGTCTCTGCTACAAATGATCTTATGCTAGTCATGTAGAAACTAGAAGTTACTTGCATAACAAGATATTGAAATATATACAGTTACTTATTTCCAAAATCATGATTCCTTGCATACACATATTCTACGCAGGTGCGGCTAATTGGATATTGTGTTGAGGGCTCCTTATTTTTGGTTTATGAATACATTGAGAATGGAAATCTAAGTCAACATTTGCGCGGCACAGGTTGTCAATAATAACAATAACTTGAACTTTGAATAATTCTAATTGCATCATTTTATTGATGATTATAAGACTCTTAAGATATTTGATTTATAAGGAAGGATCCATTATCATGGGCAGCTAGAGTTCAAATTGCATTAGACTCAGCAAGAGGACTTGAATACATTCACGAGCATACATTTCCTGTCTATATACATAGAGATGTTAAATCAGCAAACATTTTGATAGACAAAAACTTCCGCGGAAAGGTTCGCAAATGCTTTATCCAATTTTTATGTATTTATCTTAAAGTTGAGTTCGGGCGGTTTAACTTTTCTTTCACAGGTTGCGGATTTTGGTTTGACAAAATTGACTGAATATGGTAGCTCCTCGTTACAAACACGCCTTGTCGGGACGTTTGGATATATGCCTCCTGAGTAAGAAACTTAATCATAAATAGACCTTAAATTTACCTTTCCTTGATATGTATGTGAAAAAGATGATGAGGGTTGGATCATTAATTCAAATAAAAATGGAGGAAAGTATATTTGGTGAGGAGTTTTTAGAGCAACTACGTGTAGAGAGTATAAAGGAGATTCTTGATCACAATTGGTTAAGTGCATCTATTATCACTGTATTTTCCAGGTACCTCTATTATTACAAATATTCTCTTATTTGACAAATATATTATTAATATTAATGTTATTTGTATTGTTGACTAATATTCACATTGGTGACAAATATATTAATATCAATTGTTGTTCATTTCTAGGTATTTGTATGACAAGTTTATTTCTAGGTAATTGTGTCTAAATTAATGTTATTTTAAAACAATTATATGGAGTAAAATTAATCGATATAAATTTTTTTTTTGTAGTGTCCTCGTCAAATTAATGGCGTTGATTGTGGATACTTCAACGCTTTTGGATCATGAAGGTGGTTACTACATGGGATTGTTTTGTTATCCTTTCTTATTTTTTTGGTGTTTTGTTTAGAGAATTTGATTGTATGTTTTTGGATTTGGATTGAAGTACTCATAGATGGGCATCTACAAATTTGGCTATGCAAACGCCCTCTTAATATTCTATATGTTATGATATTTGGAAACAATAGGATTTGGTAATTTAAAATGTTATTTGGTATTTGATGGATCATAATATATATGCAATGAGTAACTTAAAGCGTTATTTGTGTTGAATTGAATATAGTTATTTTATATTTACACCAAAAAAAATGATTGTGTAAGAAAAAATATTGTACTGTACTTATTAAAAATATTGTACCAAATATGTACCATTTATTAGCACTTTATTTGAAAGCGCTATCAAACATATGTTATATATTAGCGCTTTTTGTTTAGAGTGCTATAAAAAAACAAACAAAAAACATGCAAAATACTGACTTTGATAGCACTTTAATTAAAACGTTATTATAAATTGGTACTTTAATAGCGCTTTTAAAGTGCTATTAAATAAGAAATATTTACAATAGTGGCGCGGTTAATAGCACTTTTAAGCGCTATCAAAAACAAAAAAAAGCGCTATTAAATAGCTTATTTGGCGTAGTGCATATTGATGACGCTTATGCCACATCTTGCACCATTCTAGAGAAAATCTTCCCAACTAGTAAGACCCCATTGGACGTCGACCCTTGTGAGATGCTACAGGGACAAACAAGTTGGATCGTAGAGTATCTTTTAATGCATTTCAAACTGTATCTTGATACGACCGTTGTGGTACATTTCTACAATGTTCAACTGTATGATTATAGTCTATAGCAGATCATATATTTCACCATCTGATTCATGTTTTGAACCAAATGAACGAGTGAAAGATGATAGTAGTTGTGGTGGTTTTGGTTCCCTGGATGCTAGCAATGGTTCATCAATATCTTCGTGGATGTGAGTAGACGTAGAACTCATGTTTGTGAATATTTAGGTTTGAGGGTTAGTTAGCAACCAAATAAATGAAGTTATAGAGGATGAAACTGTATGCTAAGTTGAGATTGATTTTTATAACTCGGGAGATATTTTTTAGGTTGGAATTTTATCTTATTATTAAAATTGTATTATGTATAAAAAAAATTGTATTAACGCTGACATAAATTTTTTATAAGATGAAAAGGTATGTATATAATATCTATTTGTATATGGTTTTATACATACATGTTAATCAATAATTTTATTAATAGTTATTAATAATGTCTTTCGTCAACCTATTATTGTATTGATACTTTCATCCCTTTTCTGATGATACCGTGATTTTCATTTTAAATGTCAATGGATGAATAAATGTAAAATAAATACATTTTAATTGTTAATTAATATATTTCAATAAATCTAAAAACCAAATATAAAATAATTATTTTTTCTTTTACTTTTAAAAAAATGAAAAATAATTTACGTTCACAATTAATGAAAAATCATATTTTTTAAAGATATGAATCATTTAATATTATTTTGAACATTCAAATTTTACTACATACATCGCACGAATATACACACTAATTGTTGATACATAGGTTTGGCATAATGTTGCTGAATGGATAGGTAGCTGGGATAAATCGGTAAATCAATTAGGAACACAATTTACATGTATCCTTTAATTATTTTTTATAATTATTATTGTTTTCTTACATATATTATGTCAGTTAATCATGTATTATTTGAACTATGTGCGGTTATTATAAAAATATTTGATAGATAAATTTTAATATTGTTTATTATTTTTTTATTAATTATAATTAGTAGAATAGTTAAATAAAATAAACGAAATAAATAAAGGTATTGTACAAAAAAAGTGATACATGTTATATTAATATTAAGAAATAAACTTTTATTTTAAAACCTAGAAAATGGCAAATGATTAATGAGATACTTTTTGTCAATATTCTTTGTTACTTTTAAGCTAGTGTTTAAACTTTCAAATAAGTGTCAATTGTACTACACTTTATACTCTATTGAAATTTAATGGGATTTAATTGTGTGAATAATCTATGTTCAATTATATAACATTTTATTGTGGGATTAATTTATAATATATGTCTAAACTTTTTAAAATTGAATCAATTGACCGGATAAATGTTAGATTAATCTATTTTTTTAAAATGAATTAATAGGTATTTTTTTATAAATTATGTCTTTAATTTTATTAAAAACTGTACCTTTTTTCCTTATAATTATTATAAGTAATGAGGACTTGGAATTAAGATATATTTGTGTTTGTTGAAGGATATGAAATTTTTTTATAAGTAATGAGAACTTGAAATTACAAAAAAAAACAACTATCCAACAAACTATGTTGAAGGAGATGCATTGTTTAGACACTCTAATATATTTGAGAGGGATGCTTCCACTTATTTGTTGAGTTTTGCAATGATCTTGTAAGATTGTCTTTTGTTCCATTGTTTCACTTCATTTGAGTTTTTCAAGGGCTGTGTGAGATGTAGAAATTATTATTTACTATTTATCCATCTTGTGGAGTTTTATTATTTATTATTTTAAGTCTACTACACAACTTTTGCAAGGACCATCTAGATATAAGTATAACATTTCTATTGATAGAAAGGCTGAATTGTTAAAAATCATAAATTAGTTGTTAAAAATCATAAATTAGTCATTAACTGCATCAAAGTAGACATTATTAAAAAGGATTTAATATAATATCTGTTGATAATAAAACATACTCAAAGTTAAAAGCTTATAATCTAGTAGATAATTGAAAAAATTGGAGTGACGAGGAAGCTAAATAAGTTTAATACACTAAATTTTCTTAAAATATAATTATTAACTTAGTTAATTATAATTTATGAGCTTAAATATAATTTAAATAGACAGCCAATAAGTTATGGGTTTAAAAACACGTGTATAATTTGTTTATGTATTATTTTATTTAATTTATTTATATGAAGTTTATATTTTAATATATGAATTTATTCATATGTTGAATGGAGAATTTAATTTAGTTTTTTTATAAAAATGTAATTAATTAAAATATGATTAGAAAATCAAGAAAACCAAATCTAGTATTTTGCTATTAATAAATTTTTGTCGTATTTTTCAACCGTTTAAACTATAACACATTTGCTTTTGAGGCAATTTTGAACTATTAAGTTTGCAGAGTGCACAAACCTCTAAAAAAATCCGTTGAAAAACATATATTTTTAGTGAATAACAAATTATTGATACATTAGTCAATAGTGTAGTAAAAGATAAGATAACTAGCAATAGATAAGCTAGCATATAAAATTTGTTGATTTTAGTATAATTATTGTTAAACTACTTAATATAAAATAACATAAAATATATATTTATGTTTTTATTAAAATATTAAGAGATAAAGTATGAGAAAAATAATATATATTATAAATCAGAAGAATTTTTAAAGTTGTATATGAAAAAATGTTATAAATTAAAGAAACATAAGGGTAGGGCCTTTGTGTCTTTCTCTCACTCCATAATTTCTCTCTCATATATTTTTTTTTTATTTTAATTTTTTTATAAAATCTCGATCAATTATATTCTAAAGGCATGGTAATTTTGTTCTCATAAAGACAGTAAAGTCAAACCTAATCATAAACTCGTAAATGAATATTTTTTACCAAAGAAATCTATTTTATAATCATGATCATACACGCTATAAAACTATTTAGTATAAGATAGTGATTTTTATATGGAAAGAAATACCGCCAAATAGAGTGAGAGACATGAAATTTTGAGAAGTTATTAACAACTAGGAAACAATATGGTATATGGTATTATTTTTGTATTGATGAATGAAAATTAAATATTTGATGGAAAATCTTCTTTAATTTTTCTTGAGAAAGAGTTATGGTAAGAATACTATTTAAATCGCATGCATCATAAATCAATGTGAATTGTATCATAGGATTCAAATGATAATGAGAACTATATGATTGTCTAGTGGAGTGTGAGCGATATCATAAAATTCATGTTCTTTCTATTATATTATGTTGTTGAATATAAAATTGTCTCATCGAATGTGTGTTGTAGCATGAAATTTGCACTGGTTCATTGAATTAGAATTGTATTTATGAAATGTAAATTCTCATGAGTCATTTGATGGACCTGCATCAACTAAATGGCTCTATAATTCTTCACAATGATGAAGTTGATTAAGGAATAAAACAGTCTTTCACTCACGTTTCCAACTTCATTCATCAGAGTTTCAACTTCCCATGTCCTTATGCCACCCAAGTGATTTGTAGAAAATTGATATAACAGAGGGAAATCTTCCTTAAGAACCTGGCTAGCAATCCACTTTACCTCCCAAAAGCTAATTTAACTGCCTCTTGTCACATTGCACTTAATGTTTTTACTGAAGTTATCTTTTGATCAAAATTTTGCTCCTTTTAGAGCTTTCATGTCTCTCGACCAAATTGGGTCCAACCAATTTTTGTTGGAGCCAACCTCTGACAGAACCTGGTTGCTAACATTACCATATCAATGATTTAAGAGGCTTGACCACAAAGCATCATCCTCCATTAGAAGCCTCCATTTCCATTTGCAAAGTAAAGCTTTGTTAAACAACTCAACATCTTTGATTTCTAATCCTTCATATTTCTTAGGAATACATAACTTTTTCTAGCTAATCCAATGAACTTTTCTCCTTAATTTTGATCCTACCCAAATGAAGTTTGTTGAATTCTAGACAATTATTTCCATGCATAGACTTTAGTTTTGAAAAAATACAAGTGATACATAGATAAATTATTCAAAACAGAGTTCCTCACATTGAAAAATGCACGCCCTTCCACAAATTCAATCTATTTTCAACTTGTCAATAATTGGTCTCCACATGGATACTCTTCTTGGATTCGAATCAATCGTAATGCCCATATAGTTGAAGGGGATAGATGTTATGCACCAAGCTAGAAAATTAGAGGTCACATGCATAAGTTGCTACCTAAAATTAGTTCCATAGAGCTTGCTCTTGAAGACGTTTACTCCTAAACTTGACATCAGCTTAAACCTTCTAAAAAGCTCCACAAGTTTCCCCAAGAGGCTTCCCTAATTATAATATATAGTGTCAACTAAAAATTGTAGAATATCATAGTTGACACCATTATTAGTCCTGAATCCCTGAAAGACTCTCCCTGATCCATACATTTCTTGACAAGTCTAGTGGGACTTCTTCAATAATTGTAAAGATAAAAAGTGACAAAGGATCACCATGTCACAGACCATAATGCACCATGAACTTCTTTGCAGGGGAACCATTGACCAATACTGACATCCTACTAGATAAGACATAACCCTATATCCAAGTCATCTGTTTGGCTCAAAACCCCAATCTCCTTAAGATTTCTATTAGATAGTTTCAATTCCCCCTATCATAGGCCTTTTCAAAATCAGCCTTCAAACTTAAAAATTCCGTATTTTACCTTTTAGCCAAATATATTATTTCATTTAATACTAGAACTCCATAATAATTGTGTATGCCTAGAATGAATGTTGATTAGTTATTGTATATGACTTTACCTATGACCCTCTTTATTCTAGTTTCTAATATCTTATCAATAACCTTATATAAGTTCCTATCAAACAAATTTTCCTAAACTCATTCAGAGATTTAGGGTTTTTTGAACCAAACAAATGTTCGAACTGACAAATCTTATGTGTTGGTTGGTTTTAAATAAACATGATTTTTGGGTTGTTTTGATAAGATGATATGTGAATTAAGTTGTTAACATTTTAGGACACAAGTCCAATGTTTTGATGATATATTGTGTGAAATAAGATGTGGATATGTTTAGAGTTGAGTTTGAGAATTATATAAGTTGAGTTTAGAGTTGAGTTTGATATGTTTAGAGATGAGTTTGATATGTTTAGAGTTATATTGAATTAAATGAGTTAAGTTTTGAGTTATTTGATATAGTTGAGTTT